AAAAAAAAAAAAAAAGATTTATAAAGTCACAAAGAAAAGTGAGAAGTCACTAACTGAGCAAAACAGAGGTCAAACTGTGCCAAAGCAAAAAGAAATTTTTAGAAGATCATTCACTTGTAATTTTAATTTATTTGTGATAAAGTATGTTTCACCTTTTTCTCCAAAGATACTTAAGATAAGGTACAAAAATGCTCCTTATTTAATTTAATCTACATTAGTAAGTGGTGCTGTGAGAGTGACCTAATCCAGAATCTCCTATTTAGAACTTTATGGTTGATAGGAATTTGAATCTAGATTCTAGAGATCTAGTGTGGTGTAACAGTGTTAGCATTGGATAGCCTTGAGCAAGTCACATTTTCTCAGCTTCCAAAGAAGCCAATGGCACCTTCCCTTAGGAAATCACACCAAGAGAACCCCAAGGTTCACCTTAGGTGAAGGGAAACATATTCCCTGTTGACAAGGTTGTCAAGTTGTGTCCGACCATAGGGGGTGGTGTTCATCTCCGTTACTAAGCCAAAGAGCCAGTGTTGTCAGAGACTACTCTGTGATCTTGTGGCCACCATGATTGCACAGAACACTGTTCACCTTCCCACCAAAGTGGTACCTATTTATTTACTTGCATTTGCATGCTTTCAAACTGCTAGATTGGCAGAAGCTGGGACTAGTAATGGAAGCTCACTCCATCATGCAGCACCCAGGCCTTGAACTGCCAACCTGCCGATCTTGCAATCAACAGAGTCAGCATCTTAACCACTTGAGCCATTACATCCCTAAGGTTCACCTTAGGGTTGGAAAAAAATCAGAAATGGCTTGAAGGCACACAACAACAACAACAACAACAATCTAATTGAAAAAGGATGTGCACGCCTTTGTTGAAACCAAAGTCTGAAGGTAAGATGTACCATATAATTAATTGTTTTCCTCAACAATTAACATGTAACTACAGTACATTAAGACTGTCATTTAAGGATGGTGACACTCTTGTAGTGCAACTGTTTTTAATGGTTTTTAGTAGCTTCACTAAATGATGGCGGAATCACATTGTTCCAAGTGCTGCTTCATGTTCTGTTGTGATGGTGATGAATATGGCTGGCAGAAAAGAAGATTGTGTATCACAGAACAGCAGCTTGTAACATTAAAGTTTTGGTGGCTTTTTTTTTAAAAAAAGAGTAACTTACATTTGAGAAATATGACAGTAATGAGCTAGTTTTAAAACTGTAACTATAACAACTACCTTGGATGACTGGACTTTCTAGCTAATTCTATCTAAAAACAACAACTTCCCAAGCTCTGAATTAAATAATTTTGACCATTCATATCTAATAACCATACCTAAATTTGGGCCATGGAGGTGATGGGCCAGTGATATTTAAAGTGGGGATGCATGGGCCAGCGTTGGTTTACAAGCCATTGTCTGCTGGTCCCTGGCATGTTTCCAGGATAAAAAGAAACAACTCTAGCCAAGGGCACAAATATGGTACTGGTCACTGGTATCATGTTTGGGGGGGGGGACAACCAGTTGCTGGTTTCTCACATCAGATAGTTTGAGATGCAAGCTTGAGATGCGCTGATCTAGGCCACATTTGTGGAGACAGGATGTCTTTGGCTATGGAAACGTAATTTAAGAAATATGTAGCTCCCAGGACATGTGATTGCTGCTCAGGAGGAGAAGAGAAGAGGTTGAAGCTTTCTGTATGAAATGGATATAGGTATACACTGTGGAAGAAATACTTTAGGGATTTAAAGAAACATCATCTCCTGTTTGGTATCCACCCACATGATTGTATTCTTTTTAACACACTGCGTGCTTGTGCACACCTGTGAAATTTTGGCAATGCTATATGCATAATAGATCTACTGAACATATGACCTGCAAAGTTTTTTTGTGTTGTTGTAGCTATGCATGGTGAATGGATTGAGTGCATATTCTTAGGCTTACACATTTACAGATTTTTATAGCTACTCTACTTGATTTCTTCAGCTCAGGATGGATTACCCCATTCAGATATTTAAAATCTTGTTAGTTCCATCCCATTTATGAAAAAAATTGCACATTTCAGTGAGTTCTTATCAAGAGGGAACCAAATTAATTCTCAGTCATCTGTAGTGACCAAATTCAATAGGTGCAGCTGTTCTCAGCATGGGAAGGACCATGCTTTACTTGCCTGCCATGTAGTTGTTAAAGATAAAGAGAAACAGGGGAAAAGAAGTGGCAATACACAGGGATTCAAAGCCAGACGTTTAAGAGCTAAGTATTCAAAACTTTGGCTGGATGGACACATTTGTAAGTTTCAATTTCTGAGAATGATTTTTAAAAGAAAAGAAAAAGAAATGTTCACATTCTTCTCATTACATTTATGAAGACTTGTGAGAAGTTTGAAAAGTTCTTACTAAAAAAATGTTCTGAAGAAAATTCTTATCCCATTCCCAAGGCTGCCATTTTTCCATATGGAAAGGTACTCAGCATCAGAAATAAAAGGATTTTAAGATATTATCTTAAACAGTGGAGAAGAAAAGGCTGAGAGGTGACATGGCAGAGATCTTTAAATATCTAAAGGGATGTTATGTAGAAGATGGATCAAGCTTGTTTTCTGCTTGACTAGAATGTGAACCAATGGCTTCAAATGACAAGAAAAGAGATTCCACGTAAATATTAGGAAGAATTTTTAAACTGTATGAGCTATTCAACAATGGAATTGATTGTCTCTGAGTGTGGTGGACTGTGTACCTTTGGAGGTCATTAAACAGAGGCTGGACAGTCATCTTTCAGAAGTGCTATAGCTGTGTATTACTGTATGATAGAGGGTTGGATGGCCCTTGTGGCCTCTTCCATTTTTAAGATTCTATGATTCACTATGTGCACATGTTTCTGGGTACAGGTTATGTGTCCCCATGTTCTCCCAGCTACTGCTGCCATACATTACTCTCACACATAGCACTGCTTCTACTGGGGCTGGAGATACCAGGAAATTAACCTGGGACCTTCTCCATGCAGAACACATGTGTCCTTTGTCCTGGCTATGTCTATGGACATTTTCCCATGTGTGTGAGCTGCTGGATTCTGGAAAAATACATATTGCTGACATGTCAGCTTAAGTGCCTGTCAAATTTTGACTTTGCTTCAAATTTTGCTTTTGGATCAGATGTTGTCATATATTACTTGCTTTTGAAACACTGCTGAGAGTCAAATGCCGATGTCAAATAAGAAGCTGTTGCAGAAGTAGAGAATATTCACCATTAAAATTCATAGAAGAGAACTGTCCCTGTCTCTCTGTGTGTATGTAGAATTTGTTTCAGCTTTAAAATGTTTTTTTTAATGAGGCCCAGTTCTTCTACCTGTACCATCCATATTTAGGTCAGTGTGAAGAAATGTGACATACCAGGGTATGTCCCCCTCTGATAATTCATCATGTGGCATACAGAAGGGATGTTCAGCACACATCGTTCCCCTTGGCTCTTTCTTGCATCACCTGCTTTCACCACCTTTGTGCAAATATGACCCTTCAAAGCTCCCTTGTATGCCTTCCCACTTACTTTATGGTTGCAGCTGAAGAAAAGCCCCTTTTGATGGCTGGCAATTAAAACATTTTTGTGGTTTGTTGCCTTATCTTAGTTGTTTAGACCTAAAGAAAGATGTTCTGACAAGTAAGATGGTACAAACTCAAGAGCAAATACATATTTGAATGACTTAGGTAGAGGACAGAGGAAGGTTTAAGAGGCAGATAGGGTTGCCTTTCTTACAACAAACAATTACTCTCTCCTTGTGCAGCCTCACTTAAGTCAAGAGCGCTTCAGGAATACA